GGCAATGGACCTAAATAGAATATTCTCAAAAGAAGACAGAAGGAAGGCCAAGAGGCACATGAAAACATGTTCAAAGTCACTAATTATCCAAGAGATGCAAATCAAAACAACAATGCAGTACCATCTCACACCTGTCAGAATGCACAACATCAACAAATCAACAAACAAGTGTTGGCGAGGTTGCGGAGAAAAAGGAACCTTCGCCGGGACCGGTTTGGCTCAATGGATAGAGTGTCGGCTTGGGGACTGAAAGGTCCCGGGTTCGATTCCGGTCAAGGGCATGTACCTTGGTTGCGGGCATATCCCCAGTAGGGGGTGTGCAAGAGGCAGATGACCGATGACTCTCTGTACAACATTTCATCGATGTTTCTAACTCTCTCTCTCCCTTTCTCTCTGCACAAAATCAATAAAATATAAATAAAAGAAAAGAAAAAGGAACCCTCGTGCACTGCTGGTGGGAATGCAGACTGGTGCAGCCACTGCGGAGAACAGTGTGGAGTTTCCTCAGAAAACTGAAAATGGAACTCCCATTTGACCCAGTAATCCCACTCCTAGGAATATATCCCAAGAAGCTAGAAATACCAATCAGAAAGGATATATGCACCCCTATGTTCTAGCAGCACAATCTACAATAGTTAGAATTTGGAAACAGCCTAGGTGCCCATCAGCAGATGATTGGATCCAAAAACTATGGTACATCTACACAATGGAATATTATGCTGACATAAAAAAGAAGGAATTCTCATCATTTGCAGCAACCTGGATGGAATTGGAGTGGGAGGGTATGTATGGGAGGAGGGGCAATGTTAAAATATGTACACAGATAATAATTTTAAAAAAAGACCTGGTCCATAGAAAAAGAAATGGACAGCCAGTATGAAATGGAATTGCCAAGGCCTATAACACAGAATATCCTTACATGATATTATATTATTCTACAATGTCATTAAAATTTTCCCAGATTTTTGTTACCCCAACTACTTATAATAGTATCTCAAACCTTTGGGGATCAATAAAAAATCATCTTTTTGGTGCTATTCTAAAATTACAAAAGCATAATATACAATTATCCCAAGCAAACTTACAAACCAATTCTTTGAATGTCTGGCAGCAATTAAAAACAATGAAAGGATTTATTCCCTTCCATTGTGTAGAGGGCCTCCTGGGAAGGCACCTGAGCATTCTATATTGGCCCCTCTTGCTCTTTTGGTCAAGAGGGACCCTCTTCTCACAATGGAATTGCCCACAGCTGCTGCCTGAGCTTTCTGTTCATGTCAAGGTTGAAGCCTTGTGATGACTGATACCATGGATCTGTCTCTTGCCCAGGGGGGCGAGCTGGGCACTCCCTGGAGAAGAAACCTTGCTTCCCCAAGATATGTGATCAGTGCTGGGGCCCCACCAGCAGGCATGGGAATCCTAAGACAGGAGCTGGACGTGGAGGCCACGGGGACATAGAGTACCAAGGAGACAGAACTGAACCTCACATCACCCGGTTTGGCCACAGAGGATGGCTGGTTAGCCAGAGACGGGTAAGAGTCCTCAGGGAAAGAACTACCTATGACAGTCAGTCAAAGAGGGGCCATCAGGAGAGAACTTGTGGGTCAACTGAGGTGGGGCACTGACCCTCACCCCCAAAACTTTGCAGGGGCCTGAAACCTCAGCCCTGCTGAGGGAGTCCCCTGCCCCCATGGCTGCTTAACTTCCCATGCCCAGCTCAAATCGAGACCCGGGTAAAAGACAGAGACTTGGCTGACAGCAGCTGCCCTTGCACTACAACAAGACTTGTTTGAGTTGCCTTGTAAACAGGGTGTGGGGAAGTGGGTTTTTAATCTCTAAATCCAGCCTACCACCAGGAATGCTCAGGCCTACTCAAGAAGGCAAATAATCCTTTCCCCTAATATTTACACGGTAAAATAAGATTGTTTTAGAGTGATAAATTTGACAGTAAAATAGTAGACAAGTTTTCAGGCTAATTTAAATTGGCTAATTGAAATAAGCGAATATCCTAGAAAAACTATAATTGCACTTAACAAAAAGCTGATCCTAAAGTGTTAACTAAAATTTTAATTGGTAGTTCATCTCAGGATAAAATCTCACAACAAGAAATGAACTTAAAGCAGTCATATTATAGTGCAAAAAATTAAAATTTAAAAGCTATCAAGGCTACATTATAAAATTTTAAAAAGCCTCCTAATATTTAAATCAAAAAGGGGGAAAGTAGAATATCATATAAGGAAAAATATCCACAAAGTAAATTACATCTAGAAAATTTGTACTTTAGAAAATTGTCATTCTATCAGCAAGACACCCATGAAAAACACACATGGTGTCAAAACAAGTCATAGGAAAATCATTTGGGCAAAAAATGAAAAAGGATCCGAAGTCAAATTTATAGAAAATATTCCTTTATTAAGTTTTGGTCGAGGATATGTTTGTACATTTCAGAGACCATGTGGATTCTGGCAACAGAGAGGAATTGACAGGACTACTCCAGCCATGAAGACAGAAGAAAAGCAGTCCAGAGATGGAAACCGTTGATGACATCTTACCATACTAGCAGTCAGCAGCTGTGTATCACTGCAGGTTGCCCAGGACCAAAGAGTGTTGGACCTGCATTACCATCATTTGCCCACCATCCAGAACTGAAAGATCATTGCTGGCATGTACACATAAGGAACTGTTTGACATAGAAATTGGGTCTCAAAAGAACTGTAGGCCCAGAAAGAAGCTCACTCCAGACTGATTCGTATGCCTTTCAGCATAACCATTATTGCTTATCTCACTTTTTATTCTTATATTTCCAATAGGACATGATCTCACTCATCTGGGGGAAATGGTGAACAACATAGACTGATGAACAAGAACAGACCCAGAGATAAGGAGCCATGGAGACTGTTGGACCTCAAAGGAGGGTGGGGATAAAGGGGAGAGATCAACCAAAGGACTTATGTGCACACATATGAGCCCAACCAGTGGTAGAGGACAATAGGGGGGAGGGCATGAGTGGGAGGGGGTGGGGATTAAAATTGGGGTTTGAGGACAAATATGTGCTACTTTATTCAATAAAGAAATTAATAAAAAATAAAAATTTTAAAAATGCTCATTGGCACTGAAGTATAAATGTAACCAGTATCCACCTTGGTTCTCTGATTTTTTAACATGATTTCCCTGTTATTAAACAATGTGTTACAGATAAGATAGTTCTTTACGTATTCCTAATGTTTCAAGCATGTTCTTAGACATTAACCTAACTTGTTTGTGAGTTTCCAGAGTTTATTCACCTTCTGCAAGTGTCTCAAGCTCATTCATTGTGAATTCCAAGTGTTAAACCGTGTTTTTACATATACACCAGCACTTCAAATAACCATTATTACCCTTTGAAAGACAATCCTGGCTTTCCCAGTGCTTTGAATGCAAATTCTCAGTATTTCAACATCCAGTAGAGATGTTAAGGTTCTAAAACGAATTCCCCAATATTGTAGAACACTCTTACACATACATTCCCGTGGTCTGTTATTTTGAGCTCTGAGAGTTTTTATATTTTAATGCAGGTATCATAAGTGCTTTGTGAGGAACATTATTACTACTTTGAACACAAGCCTAGCTACCGTTTTCATTTCTTAGTGCTTTAAATACTTTCATACTGTTATATAGCTCTGTGAAAACGAATTGTTGAATGTTTCACCAACTTTTTCCCCCCAAAAAAACACCAACTCATTTTGATGGGAAAAATAAATGTAAACAGTACCACTGAGTTCAACACGTTTTCCCTGTGACAACACTGTGTTGTTCAGATATTAAATCTATTTGAACGTATATTCCTAGTGTATGAAGCACGTTTCTATATATTTTTCTAGTCTGTAGTTTTGAATTCTGTGTTACACTCACATTTGTCCAGTGACTGCAACTCATTCATTGTGAATTCCAAATTGTAATACACCATAACCCCTCCTGGAACCCTAACCCTAACCCAAACCCTAGCACTCTGTGGCTCTTTCAATTTGAGAATGTTGTATGTGTAACACACCAGATTTTGAAAACTTAATACTAGAAAATGTGAATTTTTTATTACATGTTCATGTTTCCGTTGTATTGGGCTAAATAGTAAGTTGAATCGGTGTCTTTTTACTATGTCCATGTCAGTTCTCCAAATGTGCCGGGCAATGCTGCTCGCAGGGGTCCCGCCCACTTGCTGACTGGCACACGAGGGCCGCAGACAGCACCGTCTTCCTGTAGCCAGCTGAGGGCAGCAGCACCCACTGCGATGCCAGGTTAGTGTGAACATTTATTTAAAAATACACAAAATAGAGATTTCTTACATCAAAGTGTGATAACCTCACTATACATTGTTCCATACTTACCTGATTTTGTCTGCATCCTTATGCAAACATTAATAGAAGGATTTGATTCTAGTTTTTGCTACGGTTCATGTAAACAGTTGAGACTGCTACATAAAGTGGGTTGTTTTACAAGGTAAAGTGGCCATAGAAACCTGACAGTAAAACAATTCAATTTGGTTTGTTGGATTAAATTGGCAAAAGTCTTAGCAGATAGATCACCAAAGACTACATATTGGCTTCTAGGTGTTTTAAATATTAATAACCTTGAGGGGTTTTTTTTAATCTTGTAAACATAACTTAGACCTTGTTGGCATTAAGTTTGAAAAGTAGAATATTAAACCATGATTCTCATCATCCTGCCCATGCCAGAATACACTCTGTTATGAGAATGAAACCAAATAACCAAAATAAACCAGGATTTTCAAATTGTACTGCAAAGAAGGTTCTGATGTCTCTTCTGGGAGCAATGCAACTGAAGGCAATCCTAGCACTGCTGAATGCAGTCTCCTCTGTCCCCTGGACAGTGCAAAGACACAGGCTCCAGATGGTAGTCCCTCCTGCTCTGTCTTCTAAAGCAACCGAGACTCTCCTTCCACCTCTGCTGGCTCTGCTGTCCTTCCTGGGGCTGAGATTCACTGACGTGGTGGTTTGTGGTAACTGTCAAGATTGTACTGTCCCTTTAAGGTACCACATGCCACCATAGCTTACACAGCAATCCTATGGAGAGAGAGATGTGTTAAGGGCAGGCGTCAGCAGGAAAGGCAGCCGCTCGATGATTCTGGGCAGAATTTCACGACTAGACTCGAATTAATAGAACAAATGGAAAATCGAGACCTGCCTGATCTGTCCCTTCAGTGTTTGGGCCTCAGTCACTGACCCCCTTTTCTGCTCACAGGGGTCTTAAGAGGGAGAAACTACAAATAAATCTGCTTTATAAACACAAAATAGAAAAACTGAATAGCTGACCAGAACAAAGGTGCTTCCCAAATAGTGTCACTATATATACAGCCGTGGATGTTTACGATAAGAGATAAAAGAACATAAGGTAACCGTCACCAACTTTCTGTGTTTCAATGTTTCTGCAAATACGGTATTTGGAGCAGTCAGTTCATAAAAGCATTAGGTAGTAGTACACTCACGTACTCTCAGCCACCAGACAAGTCAAACAGGTTCTCCTGAGCGTTAGGTATGCAGGAGTTGGTATGTGGCTATGGCCAAAGTCATGCAAGAGGTACCAGGCTGGGGTGTGTGTGTGTGTGTGTGTGTGTGTGTGTGTGTGTGTGTGTTAGGACTCTGAAGGGTGAAGGTGGAGCCTGTACCTTACTCAGTTTAGTCCTTCAGCACAGACCACACCAATGTCAATCACTTATCTGTTGCCGAAGACCTGATCTAGCATCCACCGAGTGGCAGGAAGCAGCCGACTAGAGCCCGCCTCCATCTACCACAACGAGGGGCCTGGCAGCCCCGCGCTGACGCTCAGGCCAGAGCAGCAGCCTCACCTTCAGCACTTTATCCACCTCCTGCTTGCTGAGATCTTCACCGCACTCCTGCGTCAGCCGAGACTGGATCATGTTCCGACGCACCCGGTAATTTTTGGAGAAAATTTCAAGCAAAACCTGTCGGTGCTTCAATAGCAAAAACAGGTTACTATGGAAGCAATCGATGAAAAGAGAAACATCCCAAACCGATGTATGAGCAGAGTCCTTGCTCACGGACTCTGGGGAACGATGAACACGTTTGGCCACTGGTCCTCACAGCTCAGACCCCAACAAAAGGAAGACTCAGAGCAGAGGGAAGCGCCCAGCAGAGCGGGGCAAGGTGGCAGCGCAAACGCCGCCGTTTAGACCCCTGATGCAGAACAAACAGGAGCGCTGACTGGGCAGGGGACAGCGCCATTCCAAGTCCATGAAGCCAGAGAAGGGGAGAGGAGCGTGTCTGAAAGTGCTGCACTGACACGACATGGCACCTAGAACAGATGCCCAAAAAGCATCGCACCCCAAAATAAAAACCAGACAGATAGGAGAGAAGTGGGACTCACGGAACAGCTGTGAAAGCTGGAGCAATGGGAAATGTCTTACATTCAGAGGGAAAATGACTTGCCCTCCAGCATTCCAGCCCCAGACAGACAACTCTACTTGAAAGAACAGCCAACTCCTATCCGTGGGAAGCCAAAATGAATTGAGAGGAAGACATGAGACTCCGTAAGCCAGTCCTGCTGGGAATCACTCAACACGGTTATCACTGTTGGTAACGTGTTCAGGAACCATGCAAATGAAAACAGGAAGTAGTGTAAGAAGGAAGACAATAGCAGCACAATCTACAATAGCTAGGATGGGAACAGCCTAGGTGCCCATCAGTAGATGATTGGATCAAAAAACTATGGTACATTTACACAATGAAATATTATGCTGCCATAAAAAAGGAATTCTCATCATTTGCAGCAACCTGGATGGAATTGGAGAACATCATGTTGAGTGAAATAAGCCAGTCAATGAAAGAGAAACACCACATGACCTCACTCATTTATGGATAATAAAGAACATTATTAACTGACAAACCAATAGATAGATATAGAGACAGTAAAGCAACAAGCAGACTGTCAAATTACAGCGGGGAGGGGAGGGAGATCTGGGGGAGATAAGGGATCAACCGAAGGACTTGTATACATGCATATAAGTACAACCAATGGACACAAAACTCTGGGGAGGGAGGGTATGTATGGGAGGAGGGGACAATGGGAAGATATGTACACAGATGATAATTTAATAAAAAATAAAAAAAAAAAGAAGACAGTCAGCCTAACGCTGCCATTTGGCTCCCCAACAGCACACCGGCAGCCACGGAGCTGGGAGCGCGGGCACGGCCAGCAGCGGTCCCCGGCGCTGTGAGCGCTCCTCTGCGTTAACCGCACGCATTTCCGGGGAGGGAGGGGTGGCTCCAAGGCGGGTCAGGCAGACCATAAAGCGGCCAGGCTCGCTGGATGTTAAAATGCGCACCTGCTACTTAGGCTATCAGAGTATCCCGGGGCAATGAACTCAGAGACCTCCTACCTATTCTGGCCAAAGCCCAGAGGCTGCCCCACCACGGCCCATCGGAGCCCATTTAAATCCTGTCCGCAGCCCCTCCACGCGGCAGCGGGCTCCTGCTCTCCCTTCCCGGCACCCGGGGTGCCAGCCACGCGGCCTTGGCTCGAAGGCGGGCCAGTACGTGGGAAGGTCAGGTCCACGACTGCGACGGCTCCCTGCCTTAACGCCTGTCTGCTCCGGCCCCCGGGACTGCGGTGAGGGGAGGAAGAGGACAGTTTCTCTTAGAGGCTTCCTTGTGAGGGCCGCCGCCGGAGGGGTCAGACCGTCGGAGAGCTGCGGAGCCTGCACCACAGGACCGGCCGCTCCCGACGAGCTACTCCCAGGCTCCTCCCCGCAGCGGGCCCCCCGCTGGCCCCGGGAGCCGGGGCGGGGCGGTGCCAGGCCGTTGGGTCGGGAAGGGCTGGGAAACCGGCTGGAGGCTCAGCAGCCAGGTCGCCTCACCTGGTCGCTCATGTCTCCGGACTCCCAGAGGGCGAACACCTTCTGCTCATCCGGGGAGGCGGCCGTCTGCGGGGGAAACTGACGAGGCCCGGCGTGAGCGGTGCTTGTCCTCACCGCGGGCCTCCGCTGGCATCTTTCCCCACCAGCCTGGCATCCGCTCACTCTGCTTTCCCATCAGCCTTGTCCTTCCCTGAACGCCAGCCCCCAGCTCCCCGGCACACGCCTCCTTGCAGCCCCTCCACAGGCTGTGCCGCGGGGCCCAGAGGCGGCCAGGCTCGGTGCCTGGGGAGGGGGAGGCGGGAAGGTGGCACCGGCACAGCTGGCACCACCCCGGAAAGCCCAGGCGGCTGTGAATCCGCTCACTGGACCGCTAGGCCCGGAGGCAGGGAGGGGCTACGCTCCCTCCTGAGGAAAAGCAGCCAGAGGCTTCCTCGCTGCCCTGGGCGCACGGCCAGTCTGTGCGAGCCCACCGCCCTCCCGGGGCCTCGGCTGCCTGTGAGGCCGCGGGCTGGCAGGCCCGGGCGCCTCCACCTCGGACGTGACTGTGACCTGGGCCGGCGTCGGCCACAGGAGGAGGGTGACCTGCAGAGAGGGCCGCGTGTCCGACACCGGCCTCCCGAGAGGAAGCAGGTCCTGGGGGAGGAGAGGAGACACGCCACTCCGTGTCCCTCCCTCCTGTCCACCCCAGCACCAGGACAGCCTGCGCAGCTCAGAGAAGGTGAGCCTGCAGCTGACGACGCCATCTGCTGGGGAGTCACAGGGGGAGACTCCCTGCCACGAGGGCCAGCTCCCCCGGGACGGCCTCGCCAGCCTGGCACCAGGGCCTCTTGCCCGTTGCTGTTCTCAGACACAGAGCTGGGCCTTAGTGCAGACGCACGGCGGCAGGCTCTGACCGCGGACGCAGACATCCACGCTCCCTTGTTAACACAGGCTGTGCAGCCCAGCTGCCAGGCCGGGCAGAGCCTGGGGGGATAAGAGCCAGCAAGCTTCCCTGCTTCCCGAGGTCACAGCGGGCACCCCACGCTCAGCCAGGGCCTCCAGCGCAGGCCGGGCCGGGAACAGCCAGCTCACCAGCCGAAGCAGAGGACTGAGGAGCTGGAGCCACTACGCCGACGTCAGAACCAGCAGTCACCTCCTGGGCCCTGTCCTGGCACAGGCTCACCCACGGGCCCCTGTCCCCCTGTCCTGGCACAGGCTCACCCACAGGCCCCTGCCCCCCTGTCCTGACACAGGCTCACCCACAGGCCCCCGTCCTGACACAGGATCACCCACTGGGCCCTTGTCTCCCTGTCCTGGCACAGGCTCACCCATGGGCCCCTGTCCCCCTGTCCTGACAGCCTCACCCACGGGCCCCTGTCCCCCTGTTCTGGCACAGGCTCACCCACGGGCCCCTGTCCTGACACAGGCTCACCCACTTCTCTGAAACCATCTCTCCTCTGCGGGTGCAAGACCAGTGACACTAGAAATCCCCAACTCGGCCAGGCTGACGGGTGAGCGGAGGTGCGGAGGGGTGAGGGTGGGAGGTGGTGCCAGAAACCAGGTTGGCGCACCTCCTCGGCCCTGGCCGAGGCCTGTGACACAAGGCGAACCGTCACCCACCTCAGAGGAGGGCGCAGAGCCCAAGGCTGGCTGGCCCAAAGCCACGCACATCTCCACCCGAGAGCCAGACTTGAACCCCGGTCAGGGTCTTCCCTGGCCCCACGCCCCGTGCCGGCTCCCCCGCCGCTCTGGGGCGACGGGACTTCTCTCTGGGCCCCTTTCTACCCAGCGCCCGGGGCGGCCCCACTCACAGGCACCAGGATCTGCCTGCAGCCGGCGGCCAGCACCGCGTCCTGCAGCGTGCGGTCCGAGATGCCGCGGAAGAGCGAGTGGCCCGGGGGCAGGCTCGCCAGGTGCAGGTTGAAGAGGCGCTTGAGCTCGCTCAGCGTGAGCACCACCTGCCTCTGGAAGGCGGCCTCCACGAAGGCCCGCAGCTCCCGGCCCGCCGGGGCGCCGGCCCCGCCCGCAGCCCGCCCGGCGGGCAGCCCGTTGGTCAGCCGGCCGTGGAGGCCGCCGCCGGGTGAGGTGTCCATGGGCTCCTCCTCCTCCTCGCCCTCCTCGCTCAGGGGCTCCTCCTTGATCTGCACGCCGGGCGGCACCGCAGACACCGAGGCCTGCTGCTTCCTCCGCTGCAGCTCCCGCTCCAGCAGCGCGTGGTCCTGCTGGGCCCTGCTCTTGGCCGCCTGGACCCGCTGCTCCCCAGACAGCAGCCCCGCAGGCCCTGTGCGGAGGGGGCTGCTCAGGACAGACGCGGGCCGAGGGGGCCACGCCGCTCTGCCCCAGGGACAAGCCCTCCCCCCGACGGGGCGGGGACACTGCAGCCACCTTTCCAAGCGGCTGAGCTACCCCAGCAACGAGGGGAGAACCAACTGGCAAAGCCAGCTGCCCACGCTCAGAGGCCCGGGATGGGCTGGTGCTGAGAGCCCCCGCCAGCCCTGAGCGCACAGCCTGGTGTGGAGGCTGCAGCCGCCTGCGGAGAGCCAGTGGGGAGGGAAAGCCCAGGGTCCCAGGCCCAGCCCCGAGCCGGGTGCGAGGTGAGGCTGCCCAGCCGATCGCCCACACACCTGGCTGTCCGTCCGGCTGCTTTGGCGTGGTTTCCTTCACCAGGTTATAGACTTTCTCTAACCTGAAAACAAGAGTCAACACTTTACACCATGTCCCCGTCATCTCACCGCCCAGCCCCGTGTGCCCGCAGCACTGGGCGCTGCCTACGGGCCAGGCCCACGCCCGAGCGCCCCCTGCCCTCCCCCCTCCCACGACAGAGCGGGTGTCAGGCCTCTGCTGGGACGGGGAAGGGGCCAGCCCTCGCCCGCCCCGGGAGCCGTACTTGGCCTGGATGCCCGTCCACAGCATGTGCTGCCGCTGCACCACGTCGGGGTGCTTCCGGATGAACTCCCCGTCGTGCGGCAGGACGAACTCCCAGCCCCTGTTGATCCTCACCACGGCCATGTGCTCCAGGAAGTCCTTCACGTCCTCTGCACAGAGCTGGGGGCGGGCGAGGGTGAGGCGGCCGGCCCCGTGCCCCCCCCCCCCCCCCCAGAGCACCACTCACTTTGGTCACGGCCGCCACCTCCTTCCGCACCACCCAGCGGCTCTGTGTGAACTTCCACATCTGCGGGCGGGAGAGCGTGTTCCCGGGAGCCAGGGCCGGGCCACGTGGGTGCGGGTCTGCCCGTGGGCAGTCACTTCCCCCTGCACCGCCGCCTCCTTCGTACAGGACCCGTTGTCTCCTCAGAGGCAGCGGGACCTCCCACCCTGGGCCCGGACCCAGCGACGCCCCGGCACGCGGAGGGCTGTGCGAGGCAGGGCGGGTGGGGATGGAGAGGACACGCTCCGGAGCCGCCAAAGCCAGCAGCCAGCTGGGACACGGGACAGACCCGCCAGCGCGTGCCCGGGAATCCCAGGCCTGTCCCAGTGGGTGCTGTTTGGCTGGGCCAGTCCCACAGACTCACAGGAGCTAGAAACCTGGTCTGTCATATAATTTTGATTTGCAAAAATCAACCATGCTAACAGTTCAAGAACACCACTCAAGCCAAAGGAAGCTCGTGGGCCAGAAGCCTCAGGTTTGCGAGCCTCGGTGAGGTCTGTGTGATGCAGGACCCTGGAGCCCCCGCCGGCCCTGCCCCGGCACAGGCTGGCCTCTGCGCTGCCCTGTGCCCCCCCGCCCTCCTCCCGCGGCTCCTTGGCCCCCAGCGGACGCCAGAGCCCGGCACTCACCACGAAGTCTCGGCCCCGGCAGAGCACCTCGGCGGGCACACCACTGTGCGGGCTGGAGGAGTCCTTGGGGTACAGGATGTCACTGCCAGAAAGTGGTGGCGGTCAGTCCGTCCTCAGCCCCTCTGCCGCCTCTGCCGCCGTCCCTGCCCGGCCTCACAGTGCGAGCCCCAGCCCCGCCTCTTTCCTCTTCCCAACACACCCCGTCCCCCTTAACCCCCCCTCCCCTCCCCCCCCCTTTATTTAACAAAGAGAAATACAGCTTTTAGGTTCTTTTTTGTCTTTGCTGCTGCTGTTACTCCTCCTTCACCTGAGCACCTGAGGGTATTTCCCTGCTGATTTTTAAAATATATTTTTTATTGATTTTCCACAGAGGAAGGGAGAGAGATAGAGAGCTAGAAACGTCGATGAGAGAGAAACATCGACCAGCTGCCTCCTGCACACCCCTGCTGGGGATGTGCCTGCAACCAAGGTACATGCTCTTGACCGGAACTGAACCTGGGACCTTTCAGTCCGCAGACGGGCGCTCTACCACAGAGCCAAACCGGTTTCAGCTCCCCGCTGATTTTTAGAGTGTGGAGGGGAGGGGGGGGAGAGAGAGAACACATCCCAACCAGGGCCGGGGATCGAGCCTGCACCCAAGGCCGGTGTCCTTGACTGGAATCAAATCTGAGACCCTTCAGCCCACAGGTTTGCGCTTTAACCACCGAGCCAAACCGGCTGGGCCCTCCTACCCCTTCCTGAGCCCCCAGCGCAACTGGCCCAGCCCCAGGATCAGTGCGTGGACACGAAGGGGCCAGGGCTCAGAGGCAGGCGTGGCCAGCCCAAGGCTCTGGGAAAACAGACGGACCCAGCTGGACAGCACGTGCAATCCTGAGGGAGACCATGACAGGGGGGGTGAGGGGCAGGGCGGGGGCCTGGACAGGCCCGAGCACAAGGGGGGGCCAGCACCAGGCTCAGAGAGAAGGCCCAGCACCAGGCCCAGAGAGAAGGCCCAGCACCAGGCCCAGAGAGAAGAGCCAGCACCAGGCCCAGAGAGAAGGGCCAGCACCAGGCCCAGAGAGAAGGCCCAGCACCAGGCCCAGAGAGAAGGCGCAGCACCAGGCCCAGAGAGAAGGGCCAGCACCAGGCCCAGAGAGAAGGGCCAGCACCAGGCCCAGAGAGAAGGGCCAGCACCAAGCCCAGCACCAGGCCCAGAGAGAAGGGCCAGCACCAGGCCCAGAGAGAAGGCCCAGCACCAGGCCCAGAGAGAAGGGCCAGCACCAGGCCCAGAGAGAAGGCCCAGCACCAGGCCCAGAGAGAAGGCCCAGCACCAGGCCCAGAGAGAAGGGCCAGCACCAGGCCCAGAGAGAAGGCCCAGCACCAGGCCCAGAGAAGGCTCAGCACCAGGCCCAGAGAGAAGGCCCAGCACTAGGCCCAGAGAGAAGGGCCAGCACCAGGCCCAGAGAGAAGGGCCAGCACCAGGCCCAGAGAAGGGCCAGCACCAGGCCCAGAGAGAAGGCCCAGCACCAGGCTCAGAGAACTCAGGCCGAGGCGAACCATGTCCACAGCACAGCCTGCCCAGCCCACGGCCTGTGCTCAGGACACTCACCGCCGCTCCTCGGCCCCACCCCTCAGTCCCAGCTGGCCACCAGCTGCTGCCCATTCTGGAGGCGGAGCTCCGTGCCCACCACCTTCCCGTAAGCACTCCCGGGACAGGGCCCGGCCCCGGCGCTCACTGCTGCCAGGGAGGGCAGGTGGCCGCTGAGCAGTGCCGAATGAATGTGGCCCAGGCCCCGGACCTGACATCCTGTGCCCGCTCTGGCCCATAGCCTGCGGTAGGGACAGTGTGAATGCGAGTGCCGTGTAGGGCCTGGACAAACGAGTGAATGCTGCACCTTCCCCACAGGGACGTGCAGGGACAGGACAGAAGGAGCCGCAGGCCTTGCTGGGGTAGCCAGGACAGCGTCAGGGGGGAGACCACAGCAGGACCCACAGACCACGAAGGCCCATCCCAGGGACAGACCACCGGCCGAAAGGGGTGGCTGCACCGGGGCACATGTGGTCGGAGTGTCCAGGGGTCGGAGCGTCCATCGCTCCGGGCCAATGCCCTCCTGTGAATGATGGGATGGCCCCTGACTCTCGTTCACGGGTGCCATCACACAGGCCCATCTAACGAGTGATGTGCTTCTCCATGATGTGCATAAGATACCCAATGCACATGCAGGCCTGTGCTTCCCAGGGCGAGGGCGCCACCCTGTGGCCATGACATGAACGTACTTTGTAATTAGTCAACCAAATAGATATTCATGGACTGCTTGCAGTGAATTACTTTTTTTTAACTGGTCTGAGAGAGAAAGGGAGAAGAGAGACAGAGAACCATCAACGTGAGAAATATCAACTAGGTGCCTCCCTCATGCGCCCCAATCAGAGGTCAAACCTACATCCTGGGTGTGTGCCCTGACTAGGAATCGAACCCACAACCTCTTGGCACATGGGATGACGTTCCAACCAACGGAGCCACACTGGCCAGGGCCGCAGGGCATCATTTTTATAAAAATTTGTAACAACTCACTCTTTAACAGCTTTTTCACTTTGCCACACTTTCTAAAAACTGTGTACATTATACCATTTAGAACTAATATAATAAAACACAGATAGCCACCTATATTCACTCTGTGCCAGGCGTTACACCGAGTGCCAGGGACAAGAGGGAGTCAGTCAACAGGCAGCCCCACCCCCTGGACACGGACAGCCTGGTGCAGGAGGCAGACAGGCCAGAGAGGAATCTCAGGGAAAGAGAAGCTGCTGGAAGACATCACGTCACACATGTGAGACCCAGGACAGGTCCAGGGAAGTTTAACATTTAGACAGGCCTTTGTGAACCGTGGAACACAATCCGAAGGCAGACATGTAACAGAGGGAAGAATGCCGACCAGGGACTACGTCTTGTGGGGTTTAAAGTCGGGAGAAGGCCACTTCACAGCATGTGAGTTGGAAGGTGAATGTAAAACCTTCTGAGTTCTCTGAATTATCCCGGATGAGGGTAAAAACAGCAATTAATATAACTGAGACAAGTCACGAGTGCATGCTGAAATCTGTAAGGAATCACTGAAACAGCTGCTAAAGGGTAACTTCCAAATTAGCAGGAAAAATGGAATAAAAGAAGGACCAGTAGAAGGTAAGAATGAATATTAATGCAATGCAGGCAGATTTAAACCAGATATCAGCAACCATTTTAAACAGAGGGGATGAAGGGGCTGCAGACAACTTACCTCTTCACCACCCAATTTCCTTGGACCAACATCGCCACCTTCTGGATGCCACGCAGAACAGCCACGGAGTCCACAGCGGGGCCCAGAAGGCTCATCAGGTTGGCAAAAGGCATGACCTTCACTGCAGAAGCAGAGAATCAGACCAGGGAGGACAGCCCGGGCCCTCCCTGGCCTGGCTCTGCCTGCCCAGCTCAGGGCAGCCCGGCCGTGGGTGACAGCCAGGGCACAGCCGGGCACAGCTCAGTGGATCCTGAGGGCAATGCCCGGCAGGAAGACTGAGTGTCAGGAGAATCTACTCGGGGCCAGAGGTTCAAGACCGGCCCCTGGTCATCTGGCTGGTCAGTGGCAGAGTCAGGATGAGACGCCAGGTCACCCGGGTCGAGTCCATGCACTTAGCCATGGTGCTCTGCTCACCCCAACTTTCCGAGCCCTCCATCCAGGCGAGCAGGGCCGGGTTGGGAAGCCCTCAGGCCTGCAGCCTCAGGCACAGCAGGGAGCTCTGCTCGGGCCCCAGAGACCCTGGAGTGGGCACCTCGGAAGAAGCAGCTCTGAGGGTCTAGGCCCATGCCTGCCGCTCGCCGGCTCCAGGCCCCACAGCACTGGCGGGGAGCATGCTCAGGCCCGCAGCTCCCGGGCACGGGCAGGGCTCGGAGCAGCCCTCGGTGGCCCCTCACAGATCCACACTGAGGCGCAGGGAGGGCTCGCACAGCGGGAGCCCGGCCTCTAAGGGAATGTGAAGCTGGCAGCTCCGAGCAGAGGCAGAGCCCCGGCCGCCCCTGGTCCTCAGCCTGACCCGCCCGGGCACCCACCGTTCTTCATCAGAATCTTGATCTGGTCGGTGAGGGGCAGGGTGCGCAGCTGGGCCATGGACAGCACGTTGCTGGGGGCCACGGGCTTGTCTCTGTTAGAAGCACAGCGGTGGCGGGTCAGGGCCGGTCAGAGGCCACGGCACAGCCCGGGGTCGCCCAGCCCCTCTGCTCACCTCTCCTCCTCCTGGCTGGGCGGCACCAACATCAGGAGGTACTCGCTGCGGGGGGAGAGGGCAGGCCCGGCTTAGCTCCCTGCCGGCAGCCAGAGGCCCAGCCCTCCCACGTCGCTCCCCGGCCACCCAAGGGGCACCTGCCAGTCCCACCTGGGCGACTTGACGAGCTCCGTGTTTTCGGCGCTGCTGCCGCCCTGGCACAGCAGGTACTGGCGCTCGTGCTCAGAGCGGCTGTCCTGGGGGGACCACAGACTCAGCGAAGCCCCGAAGCCCTCCACCACCGGTTCTCACCACGTGCCGCTCTAGCCACCCACTGGCACCCGAGGCCCCAGGCACCCCGGGCTGGCTCTGCGGTGTGGCCTCGGCGGCTACCTGGCAGATTTCACGCTGCACAGCCCAGCATGGAGCCTCGGTGCCTGTCTGACGCAATGACGGCTAGCATTCCGTGAGCACCTACTCTGCGCCACGCTCTGTACCAAAGACCAACTCACCTATCCTCCACACAATTTCAAGAGCTGGGTCCAAGGCCAATGCACCACTTGGTGAAAACGGGCACAGTAAGTCATACAACGACTTTGGCCATGAGCGCAGATGAGCAGCCCAAGGTCCAGGGCCCATGTGCATGGCAGATGTGGAAGCCAGCAGCAGCCGCTCTGAGCTCAGGGGCTGCACCGGTACCGGGTGGCAGCCAGGCCGCCCTCCGGGGTACAGGGACCACAGGAGGGGAGGACTCTGCATAGGATGGATGCCCTCACCCTGTGCTAGAGCGGCCACGATGGCCGCTGAGGAAGGGAGGTGAGACAACGGGCCACATGCCACCCTCCCGCCTGCTCCCCCATCCCCCCTTCCCCGCCCCCTCACCCTCCGGCCGTGGTAGTGCAGGTGCACCCAGGGCTCCTCGGCGTGCTTCTTCTGCAGGAACTCGTACGACTGCACGCGGCGCTGCCGGGCCTGCTCCGACTCGGGCCGCGAGAACCGCACCTGGGGACGGGCAGCGTGACGGCCTCGGCCTGGCCACCCCCTGGGCTGCCCTCCCAGAGGCCAGAGGACCCCACATCGGGCACTTCCCACGGCCCCTCCCCTCCTCCTCAGTGCTGCCGTCCCTGTGACCTGCCAGCCAGGCCAGGAGCAGCTTTCTCAGGCTGCTGCCTGGGTTCCAGATCCCGGAGAGTCTACTGGAGGCCTGGAGGACACTCAGGCCTGAGCGTGCCTGGGTACAGGCCAGGAGCACCAGGAGGGGAACGGTACCCAAGGTCATCCAGGAGGACAGGTGAGTCCCCATGTTGGTGATGCCAGAAACCATCAGCCTCCAAGGTCGTGCAAACACCCTATGTCCCATCCATACCATTTGTGCAGTACTTTGTTTAAACGCTTACTCACTTAACCTAAATATACTTAAATGGGGGAGACTTTATAAGCCGTAGTGGAAGGTCAACATTCTTCCTACAATCTCTGAAATGCAGGAGTAACCACTGAGATAGAAGCACTTCAGCCTGCACCACTAGAGACAAAGCCACATTCAGTCCCATGGGCCGTGGCCCAGGGCAGACAGTGTGCCTAGGTGCATGGGACCCCGAGGCCCTGGCCTCCTCTCCGAGCATGCAGGATCCTGTCCCTCACAGGCAGGGCTGCCTCCCGCCTCCGCCGGGACAGCTCGCAGGCAGAGGCCACGGTCCCTCAGGCAGCCACAGAGGGCCCCGAAGCAGGCAGTTCCTGCGCCCGCTTCCCCAGAGTGGACCCTGCCCGGACCTCCTGCCCTGCCCCGTCCCCCCGCCCCCCTGCCGCTCCCCAGACACTGCGCTGCCAAGCGGCCTGGCTGCCGTGCGCCCACCCGCCCTCTGGGCTGGGCTCACCGTGATCTGCTTCACGTCTTCTTCCGCCTCGTCCTGCGAAGAGTCGCCCGCTGCGAGAGAAACCAGGCTGCTCTCAGCCTGGGAGAGACCGCAGCGTCCACCCACCCCCGGCCCCAGGCAGATGCAGGCCAGTTCACCGTGGGGCACGCATTTCCCCGAGGGGACGTCTGCAAGTGCACAGAGGCATTTGGGAGGAGGGTGCTACTGGCACCCAGTGGGCAGAGGCCTGTGTCTTCCCACGCCTTCCCTGCTCTCCCCTCGGCCGGCCACCACTATCACAGACGGACAGAGGGCAGGGCGGGCAGAGCTCACCCTCGCTGGCTGCCTCCCTCTCCCGGTGCTTGGCGTCTGCCTTGTCCAGGTAGGAGAAGCTGGGCCGCAGCTGCAGGATGCCGTGCAAGGGCGTCAGGTGGAGCTCACCTGTGGGAAGGACTTCCACGTGAACTGGGCCACCCACCAGCCTGGCCCACGGCCGGCAGTCACCCAGGGCCGGACTCCACTCAGGCCTTGGCCCAGTGCCAAACCACCTCCACCTCTGATCCTAGGGCTTTGGGACCACCAGGCCGACCCGTCGTCCCCCAGCCCTGCTGGACACAGCAAGCACCCAACCGAGATCAGGACGGGGATCCTGACTCAAAGCCACTTCTGCAACGCCTGCCTGCAGATGCACGCCCATGGCTCCCTCCTCCGCAAACATCCAGGGCCCTGCCGTCAACAGCTTGCTCCCACCGCACCACCAACAAACCCACACACACAGCCCTTTCCCGGCCGGCCTCCATCAGACACCCTCCCGGCCTCCCCTATCCTCCTGCCTCGTCCTGCCAGAATCCCCGTCCCATTAAGCCTGTCTTGTCTTCCCTTCCGTTTGGCCCGCGATACCCAATGTCACGACATGCTGGCAGAACGTGACTGAGTGACCGGACAGAAAGCACAGTGCCCGTCACAGTGACTGCCATGGCGCTTAGCGTGCTGAGTCAGCTATGAAATGTGGAGGAGTCCACAGGCTCTGACGAAGCCACAACTTCTCTTGAGTCAGACCTTGCCCAGAGGCAGGCAGAGACCCTGTGTCTTACAGGTGACGTGGCTGCAGCGAGCAGACACCAGCGGCCAGGCCCCGGAGGAGCTGTCTGAGCCCGGGAAGCCTCGAGGGCGCTCCCTCTTCAGACAGGAGCCCGAGGGCCGTCTGCTGCCAGGAGGTGGTTAAACATGGAGAAGCGGTATCTGTCGCGACCTTTGTTTCCCAAGTATTCACATTAGTTTCACTAACTCTCAGTACTTACAAGGCCTTGTACTTTTTACAGCTGAGGCGCAGTTCACAGGTGATACAATTCCATGTGTTCTAACTCACGCAGAACTGCACACCAGCACCACAATCACTGTAAGAACGCTCACCACGCCCTGCTGTCTGTCCCTGCTCTCCAGGCTCATCGGCGTCTCCCTCCCTCTGAGTGACTGAGAATGTCCCCGAGTGGCTACACCACACGGCCGCCCCACCTGCTCATCACAGACAGCCGCACACTCGCGGCTGCACACCAGGCACAGCTTTGCGTGCACACCGTTTCCACTCTCGGGCAGGCGCTGCTAAGAAGGAGCTGCTGGGCCCCAAGCCCCTTGTTTAAAACAAGCCCCCCCGCCTCCGTTCCGCCGTGTGCCCTGAGCCCGGGCTCCGTCAGGCTCAGGGCCATCTTGAAGATGGCCAGCTCCAGGTGCGTGACACTCTGCTATCTGCACAGCTGCCTGGCCAGCACTGGGGAGAGGCTGGACACCAGGTGGCCAGGCCCCTCCCTGCCCCAGCCCCAGCCCCAGCCCCAGCCCGCTTCCCACCCCCTCAGCAGCTGCCAGCCTCGGCGCCCAGACCCCCGAGTACCTTGCCTGTAGAGTGCAGCAGCGTAGCGGGAGGTGTTGCTGGTGGTCTGGGAGGAGCAGAATGTCTGCTTGTCCATCAGCTTCCTGGAGCACAGGAGAGCGGGAGTCGGGGGAAGCGCCAGCCCAGGCCTGGCAGCACAGCCCCCTCGACTCGATGCCTGCTGAGACCCAACAGCCAGGGACCAAGCCCACAGGACAGGCGCGTGCAGCCAGAGGGAGGCTGAGGGGACAGTGGGAGCCCCTACGCCCCTCGGGGCCCCAGGAAGGACGTGGTGGAGCCACCTTGGGGAAGCCCTTCCCCGGAGAAGGGTCTGCACCGGCCGGCCCCGAAGGCGGGCGCAGGGGCGGGAAGCCAGCTCGGGGCTCAGGCCCTGCCTGAGGCCTGAGGAGGCACCCGGCAGAGTGAAGCTCGAGGCCTGGAGCCAGGGACTCACGAGGAGTAGGTGCTGGTCTCGTCTGCGCAGGTGCCATCCACATTCAGCGCGATCTGCTCCCCTTTGCTGCGGCAGTAGTTGGGGTTCAGGGTGTCGATGGCCATCTCAAGCTCTACCTGGAAGCACCAGCACCCCCACCAGCCATGAGGACTCCAGGCACAGCCCTCAGGGGACCCGGCGCCCCTCCTGGCCCTGCGCAGACTCAGGGCTCAGCTTCCGTCCACACCACAGGCCACAACCCCCATCCCGCAGAGAAGGCCAGAGAGGTTTGGGGAGGCGGAGAGGGTCCCACAGCTCCAGCCCCAGAGGTCTAGAGCGGCATTAAAAGTCAAGAGCCTTCTCATGAAAACCTTACTTTCACTTTTTCTTGGAAAGTCAGCAGGGCTGGAAGGGCGGTTCCAGCTGTCCTGCCCCGGGCCCTGGGCTGCTCATGCCAGGCCTGCTCCCCCCAACCCTGTCCCAGGCCCCGCCACGGCCCCCGCCGCCCTCGCTGGAGGCTCACTCCCCCAGGCCTCCCTGAGCTGCCACCTTCCTCAGCTTTCAGGCCCTGCAGGCCGCGGTCCTAACTCCCCACTCCCTCCCGAGCGCCCAGGCCCAGGCTCCTGGCCTCCCCGCTCCCACCCGGCCCCTCCGGCGCAGGCCCACCTTCTGCTGCTTGGGCTTGATCCGGGCCGAGAGGTGCGGGATGTCGTCGTAGGTCATGGAGGCCGGGCGCACAGGGTACTGGAGGGAAGGCAGGCGTCACACACAGAGCCCGGCTCTCCGCCGGCCCCGACCTCCACGCCACAGGACCGAGCGCACACCACCCCGTGGGCACTGCACCCACAGCACCGCGTGGTCAGAGGGAGGTCCAAGGGAGCCACGAGCGAAAGCAGACCCGGCCACGTCCGCTCACTGCCGAGGCGGCGAGGCCCAGCGGAATGCAAGCCGCAGGCTCTCCTCTGCTCAGGGCGCCTGTCCCTCCGGGAGCACCTGTCCCTCCGGGAGCACCTGTCCCTCCGGGAGCACCTGTCCCACCGGGAACGCCTGTCCCACTGGGAGCACCTGTCCCACCGCGGGCCCTGTCCCACAGGGAGCACCTGTCCCACCGTGGGCCCTGTCCCACCGGGAGCACCTGTCCCACCGCGGGCCCTGTCCCACAGGGAGCACCTGTCCCACCGGAAACACCTGTCCCACTGGGAGCACCTGTCCCACCGGGAACACCTGTCCCACCGCGGGCCCCGTCCCACCGGGAGCGCCTGTCCCACCGCGGGCCCTGTCCCACCGCGGGCCCCGTCCCACAGGGAGCACCTGTCCCACCGGGAGCACCTGTCCCACCGGGAGCACCTGTCCCACCGGGAGCGCCTGTCCCACCGGGAACACCTGTCCCACCGGGAACACCTGTCCCACCGCGGGCCCCGTCCCACCAGGAGCGCCTGTCCCACCGGGAGCGCCTGTCCCACCGGGAACGCCTGTCCCACCGGGAGCACCTGTCCCACCGGGAATACCTGTCCCACCGGGAGCACCTGTCCCACCGCGGGCCCTGTCCCACCGGGAGCGCCTGTCCCACCGGGAGCGCCTGTCCCACCGGGAGCGCCTGTCCCACCGGGAGCACCTGTCCCACCGGGAGCACCTGTCCCACCGCGGGCCCTGTCCCACCGGGAGCACCTGTCCCACCGCGGGCCCTGTCCCACCGGGATCACCTGTCCCACCGGGAGCACCTGTCCCACCACGGGCCCCGTCTCACCGCGGGCCCCGTCCCACCGGGAGCACCTGTCCCACCGCGGGCCCCGTCCCACTGGGAGCACCTGTCCCACCGGGAGCACCTGTCCCACCGCGGGCCCTGTCCCACCGGGATCACCTGTCCCACCGGGATCACCTGTCCCACCGGGAGCACCTGTCCCACCGGGAGCACCTGTCCCGCCGGGAGCACCTGTCCCGCCGGGAGCGCCTGTCCCACCGCCGGGCACCACAGACAGAGGAGGAGCTCCTCTCTGACCTCGGAGGGCCCCTGGGCCTCAGGCCGCCGCGGGGGAAAGTATTTGAGGTCACACTGTAAGGTGCTGCTCGAACATGCTAGGGCGTGTTTCCATGTCAGCCCTCACAGGCGCACCGCTCTGTCCCCGCCTCACACGAGCTCCTGAGTGAACAGGAGCCCGGCTCGATGCCCTCTCCCAGCCCACGCGGCCTCGCAGGGAGCCGGCGGGTGTGCAGTGAGGCCAGCGCTCCTCTGGGCCTCGTCCAGATGGCCATTAGCCACGGAAATGACGCTTCCTAACGCCGCTCAGCAGCAGCGAAGTGACCCTCTGCCTCCTGGCCGGGGGCTGGAGCAGCTGTGCCCGTCACCACCGGCCTCTCCAGACGGGCCGGCTCCAGCCCCCGGCCAGGAGGCAGAGGGTCACTTTGCTGCTGCTGAGCGGCGTTAGGAAGCGTCAGAGCAGAGCCTGGGCTCACGATGCCAGCCCGCATCCCGCACTCGCTGCTGCCGTCCCAGGCCCCGCCACAGGCAGCCGGGCGCCGGTGAATGGCCTCCCTGTGCTTGTTCTACCGTACACAACAAGGGGGGAAATACTTTAAATAGGAGACTGATGGTCAGGAATGAAAAGGGTACAGAACAGTCTGGCTGGTCCCCACAATGATAAGCTTCCAAGTGACCAGCAAACCCACTCCTAGGGACACCCCAAGAGCAATGGAAACACACTCGGGCACCTGCTCGGAGGTCACCGCAGAGTTCGTTACACTGAGCGCCTCAGTGGCACCAATGGACGCACGGGCAGACAAAACGTGCTGCGTCCAGACTGTTCTGAGGACTTACTCCTCCATGAAAAGGAATGAGGCACTGATGTGCTGGTGAGCCTCAAAACCACCGTGCTAACCCCTGAAAGCCAGACACAAAAACGGCCACACCGTGTGATTCCAGGACAGGCAAACTCATAGAGGCAGAAAATAGGTTAGCCCAGCGGTTGAGCAGCAACCTATGAACCAGGAGGTCACATGACTCCCAGTCAGGGCACATGCCTGGGTTGCAGGATCGATCCCCAGTAAGGGGGTGTACAGGAGAAAGCAAATCAATGATACTCATCATTAATGTTTCTCTCTCCCCCTTCCTCGCTGTAATCACTGAAATATATATGTATATATACATATACATATATCCTCCTATATAATAAGAGCGAATATGCAAAAGGTCATCTTCACGGCTCAGACACTCAACACCGGGGAGAGAGGAATGGGGACCAGCCAGGCTGGGGCCCGGAAGAGGAACAAGCTGCCTGCCCCCAGTCCTGGGCGCCTGAGGCTGCAGCCCGGGAGAGCCGGCCTGGGTCCTGGATGCCTGTGGCTGGCCAGAGGGAGGGAAGCCCAGGGCCTGGGTGCCTGTAACCGGCCAGAGGAGGGAATCCTGGTCCTGTGTCCTGGGTGCAGGGCGAGGCGGAGGTGGTTAGAGATCAGACCAGCAGGGGAACAATTAGGGGCAATCAGGCTGGTAGGGGAGCAGTTCAGGGTGATCAGGCAGGCAGGCAGATGAGCAGTTAGGAGCCAGCAGTTCCGGATTGTGAGAGGCAGTCGGACATCCCTCAAGGGGTCCCGGATTGGAGAGGGTGCAGGCCGGGCTGAGGGACCCCCTCCCCCCCCGCACATACACCATGTGCACCAATTCCATGCACCGGGCCTCTAGTATACATACAAATAGGCTGATGGTTCCCTGGGGCTGCAGCTGGGGATGGGGAAGGGAGTAAATGTCCTAACATAAACCGTGGTGCTGGTTGCACAGTCCTATGAATAGACTAACATCCGTTGCTTTATCCACCTACATGGGGGACTCACATGTGTGCAGATGAGGTCTCAATAAAGCTGTTATAAAATTACAGTGCCAACGAGCACCACAGGGTTGCCGTGGGGGTAAAGGAGTCTCAGTGCTTTCAGTGAGGTCAGCGCACAGTCCACTCAGTGCTGTGAGCCACACACGCCCGCACAGCGGGGGGGGAGGGCTCCGAGGCGGCCTGAGCTGCTGCCGCAGGGCCCTCTGAGCCCCGGATGGGGACCTGCAAGTCAGGATTAGCACTATCGCCGTTTTGCAAATAGGGAAACTGAGGCACAGCGAGCTAGGTGGAAACAGCTTTAGCAAGACCATGCTTCTGCCTCTTGGCCGCGTTGCCTTCTCATCTTGGAAATGAGACTGTTTAACCCCACCAGAGCAGCCAAGGCGGTCCCGTCACACTCGGAGGTCTCCGGTTCTGGGCTTCTCCCCGCACTGCACTCCCACCACCGTTCCTCCTCTACCCCCAGGTCCCACATTACCTGGAACAGGTAGAGCTTCTCCGCCAGACTCTTGGCCAAGTACACGTCGACCTGGGGGAGGGGAAGACTCAGCCAGCACTCAGACCAGAGCCTGCCCGCCTGGAGGGAGAGCTCAGCTACTGCTAACACCGAGGGAACAGGCCCGCCCTCAGCTCCCAGGGGCCCTCCCAGCTTCACTGTAACCCTCCTGTGCGGGAGGAGCAGGCCTGGAGGAGATGCAGACACAGGGGAGGGGCGCCTCCCGCCGCCCAGCCGGTCCGCCAGCGCCCGGCCTACACCGAGATGGCCTGCGAGTCCCTCGGGAGACGGCCTGGCCCAGCTTTCCTTCCTCTGACACTCACCTCCCTGCCCGCCATGGCCTGCCTGCCCCACCTCCTCCTCCCAGGAGCCACAGGCCTCCTCTCCCCGGGCATGAGGACCAGGGAGGGCCAGCGGGCGCAGGGGAGGCACCGTGAGGGGAGCCCAGGGTTCAGTGTGTCCTGATCGGGCACTGACACCGCCGCCCACCGTCTGCTCCGGAGCCCCGCCTGTCAGTGTCTCCGGGCGCCCCACCCCGAGGCGCCCCAGGGGACCCGGGAGTGAGGGGAGCCTCAGGCCCATTCCCTCCGTCAACAAATAACGCCCCTGACGGTCATGTCCACGGACCTGCACCTGGCTGTGGGGACACGGTGAACAGAATAAACTGTTCTGCTTTCGTCCGGCCGGCGCGGCTCAGTGGCTGAGCACTGACCTGTGAACCAGGAGGTCAGGGTTCAGTGTCCAGTCAGGGCACAGCTGGGATGGGGCTCGATTCCCAGTGTGGGGTGTGCAGGAGGCAGCCAATCAGTGACTCTCATCTCTGATGTTTCTCTCTCTCCTTCTCCCTTCCTCTCTATATTTAATGAAAATATTCTTCTCAATAAAAATGTTAAAAAAAAAAAAAAAAAAAAACATAAAATTCTACTTTCTCCAAGCTTCCATTCTGCAGGAGTGAAGTCCAGGGCTCAGTGCTGTGGCCAAGGACAAGGCGAGGCCGAGGGAAGGGGCCGAGGGCTGGGGCTGAGGGCGGTGGCGGGAGAGGCCACACACACAGCCGGTCAGGAGCACAGAGGCCTGGAGGATGGGGGCAGCCAGGCAGGTGGCGGGAAGGAGGGTCCCAGACTGGCTTACCTCCTGCACGACTGGGTCATCCTCTTCATTGGCCATACTAGGGGGGGCCAGCCGGAGGTCCTCAGGCTCAACCTGTGGGAGAGCGGAGGCCCGGCCTGTCAGTCCCTGTCCAGCCGGCACTCCACTGAGCCCGCTCCCCCAGCCTGTTCCCGAGCCCGCTCCCCCAAGCCCATTCCCCCGAGCCCATTCCCCCGAGCCTGTTCCTGAGCCCACTCCCCCGAGCCCATTCCCCCCGAGCCTGTTCCTGAGCCCATTCCCCCGAGCCTGTTCCTGAGCCCGCTCCCCCGAGCCCATTCCCCCGAGCCCATTCCCCCGAGACTCCCCCGAGCCCGCTCCCCCGAGCCCGCTCCCCCGAGCCCGTTCCCCCGAGCCCGTTCCCCCGAGCCCGTTCCCCCGAGCCCGTTCCCCCGAGCCTGTTCCTCCGAGCCCACTCCCCCGAGCCCGCTCCCCCGAGCCCGCTCCCCCGAGCCCACTCCCCCGAGCCCGTTCCCCCGAGCCTGTTCCTCCGAGCCCGCTCCCCCGAGCCCGCTCCCCCGAGCCCACTCCCCCGAGCCCACTCCCCCGAGCCCACTCCCCCGAGCCCACTCCCCCGAGCCCACTCCCCCGAGCCCACTCCCCCGAGCCCGCTCCCCCGAGCCCACTCCCCCGAGCCCGTTCCCCCAAGCCCGCTCCCCCGAGCCCGCTCCCCCGAGCCCACTCCCCCGAGCCCGTTCCCCCGAGCCCGTTCCCCCGAGCCTGTTCCTCCGAGCCCACTCCCCCGAGCCCATTCCCCCGAGCCCGCTCCCCCGAGCCCATTCCCCCGAGCCCACTCCCCCGAGCCCATTCCCCCGAGCCCACTCCCCCGAGCCCATTCCCCCGAGCCTGTTCCTCCGAGCCCACTCCCCCGAGCCCGCTCCCCCGAGCCCACTCCCCCGAGCCCACTCCCCCGAGCCCACTCCCCCGAGCCCGCTCCCCCGAGCCCATTCCCCCGAGCCTGTTCCTGAGCCCGCTCCCCCGAGCCCTTCAGTAGAAGATGCTGCTCTGGAGGGAGGAGCCCAAGACAAACAGAGTCGATCTTATTTCTACATGGGCCCTGGAGTCAGCAATGGATGGCCAACTCCACAATCCCTCCCTCGGCACCCAAGGAGAGACGCCAGGCCGGGGGTGCAGACGGGGTGGGCGCTCCCTGTGGGGAGGGATGACACCCACAGTGAGAACCGCCATCAGGCAGGAGAGCGGGTGGCGGAGCCACAGCCGTGACTGCGGCACGCGGGAACTCACTGGACCATGGGAGGTTTTAAACATTCAGAGAGAAGAGGATCCAAGATGGCTGCACAGGTATACACCTAACTGCAGCTGCACACAACGTCAATAAAATACAACCCCAGTTCTAGGCCAGACCCTGGGGACCCAGGCTCATACAGAGGGAGCGGGGCTGTGAGGCGGAATCCCCGGGGAGCGGCGAAAGGCAGAGCCCCGGAGGCTCACACATTACACGCAGAGGGCGGACTGTTGACTCTGCTGCTAGATTGCCCTAGCGGGAAGGAGACAAAAGCTCTGGACTGTGCTGAGCCCCACTTCCGACTGCACTGAACCCCAGTTTTGGGCAAGATCCTGGAGACCCAGGATCATACCCTGGGGGCCTGGGCTGTAAGGCGGAAACCAGGGGAGCGGCGAAAGGTCCCGGGGGCGCGCACAGTGCGCACAGAGAATGGTTGTCTGTGCCGCAGGATTGCCCTGGCGGGAAGGAGATAAAAGCTCCAGACTGCTCTTAACCCCAGTTCCGGGCTCATTGGGGGAGAGACTAGACTATTTGGTGGCAGGCGAAACTTGAGGGCACCTCATTCTCAGAGGTGCTTGCAGCGAGGACCAAGGGACCCTGAGGAATACTGAGACTCAGGAACCTCAGAGGGCGTGGCTGACAAAAGCCAAGGCTGTAGGCTCCACCCTGAAACTCCGCCCCATACAAGCAGAACACAGAGACTTTTAAGGCTACCAACTCAGGGAAGCTGTGAAAATGCCGAGACAAGGAAATAGATCACAAAGGAGAGTACCGATTGGAGGAGAAACCAAGATGGCGGCTTGGGTGAGCAGCTGGTGTGCCGCTCCCACAACAATTTGAAGATTGAAATAGTATGAGGGACATCTATCATCCAGGACCACGGAGGGAGGTACTGGGTGGTTGATAGTCAGCAATTAATGTGATGGTGGGAGCAGTGAGGGACCGATGGGGCTCTTGGAATGTGACCAGATGGAGAAATGGAAAAATGGCGGGCCCGGAGCAGCAGCAGCCAGGTCCGGAGCAGCCAGGCCGGGAGCAGCAGCCATGCCCGGAGCAGCCAGGCCCAGAGTGCTGTGGGGTCGAACCCTGGGTTCAAAATGAAAGGAAAGAAGGAGCAATGCAGCCAATTCGGGTACCAGAGTGTTATGTCCATCATCATAATGGACTCAGAGAAGCTCCTGTGTCCCTTCACCCTAAAGCACTGAGAGTTGCCCAGACGACAGCAAAGTGGGAGAAGAAAACTGTAGGCTACGCAAGGGACTGAGGTGCCAGCATGGAGTCATCAGAAGAAATTAAACTGAAGTGGAAGCTGTTTCTTTAATCATGTTCCTGCTCATGCTAGCATCTGTTAGCTTCCAGTCTTCTGCAGTCTTGTGCAGCAAGTCCAAGGACTCTGAGTAAATCTACACCAGCAACAAAAGAGACTCGTTTAGTAGCTAAAAATAATAATATGTCCATAATTCTGATTTCTCATTTTGTTGTTTTGCATTGGCATTGTTGTTATTATTTAATAGCCAGAGTTTTGCTCTTGACATTCAAGTTTTGAAAATAACATGTATGTGGTTTAGTTTTTGCATTGGCATTGTTTGCAATTGTTTTTAATTTTAGAGCCCTATTATTGATGTTTAAATTTTATTTTAATTAGTAAAAAAGAGTGAGACGTAGAGAGCCGCCTGAGAAGGCACATGGACATTCTTTTAATTCTTATCAGCTGAGCCAGACGCACTGGCAGAATCCTCTTATCAGTGCTGATTTCTTAATCCATGTGCTTGGAATGAGGAACAAATAGGACCTGGACTCACCCAGGTCTGATAAGCTAAATCTTGTACCAAAATAGGAGCGGTGCAACCACTGTGGAGAACAGTGTGGAGTTTCCTCAAAAAACTGAAAATGGAACTCCCATTTGACCCAGTAATCCCACTCCTAGGAATATATCCCAAGAAACTAGAAACACCTATCAGAAAGGATATATGCACCCCTATGTTCATAGCAGCACAATCTACAATAGCTAGGATTTGGAAACAGCCTAGGTGCCCGTCAGCAGATGATTGGATCCAAAAACTATGGTACATCTACACAATGGAATACTATGCTGCCATAAAAAACAAGGAATTATCATTTGCAGCAACCTGGATGGAATTGGAGAACATCATGCTGAGTGAAATAAGCCAATCAATGAAAGAGAAACACCACATGACCTCATTCATTTATGGATAATAAAGAACATTATTAACTGATGAATCAAAGACAGATATAGAGACAGTAAAGCAACAAGCAGACAGTCAAATTACAGCAGGGAGGGTAGGGAGATCTGGGGGAGATAATAGATCAACCGAAGGACTTGTATACATGCATATAAGTACAACCAATGGACACAAAACTCTGGGGAGGGAGGGTATGTATGGGAGGCGGGGCAATGTTAAAATATGTACACAGATAATAATTTAATTTTAAAAATGTTAAAAAAAAAAAATGAGCTTACCCAGATTTTGATGAATGGGATCTGGGCACACTCGAAACTCCTTTTAACCTTAAGCTCTCCTTTGGAAGCCAATAAAAATAAATAAGTAAGTAAAAATAAGATAAAAGAAGGGGAAAAGAAAAAGAGAAAATGAATCCCTTAGAAACCCAGCATGGGATCAGGGCCCGGCCTGGGAGCGGAGAGCCGACCTGAGTCAGCACCGCCCAGCGCTGGGTACTCGCCCAGGAGCAGGCAGGGCGCGTGCAGAAAGTGACCCAGCACCAAGCGGGGCCAGCGGGTGGGCTCTGCCCATGACAGTGCAGCCAGGATCTCTGCAGAGCCAACTGCAGGAGCCAGCAGAGAAACTCTGTGGCAAAACCCTTTAGATGAGAAAGACTCTGTAAAACCCAGTAGTAGGTGGGGGAGAGAAGAGATCAACCGAAGGACCTGTTTGCATGCATATAAGCATAACCAATGGACTCAAGACACTGGGGGGTAAGGGCATGTATGGGAGTGGGGGGTAGGCAATGGGAAGATATGTACACATGTAATACCTTAATAAAAAAAAATGGAGAAAATAAATAAAATAAAGGATCCACTTTTTTGAAAAAATAAATATGGCCACATTACAATTACAACTGATGACAGAACCACCACGTTTAAGAACCATCTGAAAGCTAGCTGAGCACAACTCCCACTACTGAGGGTGAGGGTGAGGGTGAGGGTGAGGGTGAGGGTGAGGGTGAGGATGAGGATAAAGATGAGGGTGAGGATGAGGATGAGGGTGAGGATAAAGGTGAGGGTGAGGGTGAGGGTGAGGATGAGGATAAAGATGAGGGTGAGGGTGAGGGTGAGGTCAGGGTCAGGGTCAGGGTGAGGGTGAGGGTGAGGATGAGGGTGAGGATGAGGATGAGGGTGAGGGTGAGGATAAAGATGAGGATGAGGGTGAGGGTAGGGTGAGGGTGGGAATGAGGATAAAGATAAGGATGAGGGTGAAGGTGAGGGTGAGGATGAGGGGAGGGTGAGGATGAGGGTGAAGGTGAGGGTGAGGATGAGGATAAAGATGAGGGTGAGGGTGAGGGTGAGGGTGAGGGTGAGGTCAGGGTGAGGGTGAGGATAAAGGTGAGGGTGACCCCTCTCACTGTCCAGGACGGGAACAGCAGAGCTGGTGGCGGCCAAAGGAATAGAGGCAATTGGCTGCAAGATAACAGACAGTTTAGAGGTCGGGACAGCAGATGGGGGTGGCCAAGCGACAACCGGTCCAATCGATGGCACGGACCACCCTGGGGTAACAACGGCAGCAGCACAGCCAGG